TTACGGGACTGGGCCCGGAGCCCCTCCGCTGCCGTTTTGGGGCTGGGCCAGGCTGGGCCTGGTGCATCCCCCTTCCCACTACCATTGTGGAGCCAGGCTGAGCCCGGTGCGCCCCCCCAGCCTGTTGCTGTTTCAGGGCTGGGCCCACTTCTCCCCCCATCTGCCTGCCTCCTTGACCCATGAATGACCGGGGGGGGGTGGGGGGCATGAACGGAGCACTGCCACCAAGCACCCTGTGCTGCCGCTGCATCTAGGGAGCAGGGGGTGGGGGATGAGGCCAGCAGTGCTGGCCTTGTACTCTGCTCTGTCCGCTTCATTGCCACTGGCCACCGGGAGCAGGGCGCGGGGTGGGGCAAGGCCAACTGTGCTGCTCCCCCCCACTGCTGTGGTGGGCCGGCTTTTCCCACCCCGGGCTTGCTCCTCCTCCCCACCACCCCTGTGGGCCTGGGCCCACTCTTCCCTTCCCCCCACCGCCACTGCCACTGCCACATTGGCCCAGGTCCACTCTTCCCCCTTTGCTGCCATGGTGTGCCCGCTCCACCCCGACCTCCACCACATCGGTCCACAGCCACCCTGCAGGTGGGGACCACAGAAGGGGGGAGGGGCAGCCCAAGGCCACTGCCGGTGGCCTCGTCCCTCCCACGGCATCCTGACCCCGCTCCCCACCCTGCGCCACCACCCTCCAAGGAGCAAGGTGGGGGGACAAGGCCAGCTCTGGTGGCCTCAACACCCCCACATTGTCACCACCTGCAGGGAGCAGGGCAAGAGGGGTGACAAGAATACCACATTTATTTCCCTGCAGACTTGGGCAGAGTTGAAGGGCCAGACTTGTAACTGGAAAATCCAGCAATTAGAACTAGGTTTTTTCTCTGCCTGGTGGATTTCCTAATTTTGAAAATTCACTGTTTCAGGACAACTTTCCTTTTCTGCAGATTCAGCATCATGAAGCTTGTGGATAAACCAGGTGGTAGTCTAGAGGGTTTTTGTTTTGCAATGTAAAACAAGAAGTAGGATTTTTAAACTTAAAATAATAGTATCTATATCATTACCCAAAGGTTTATGTATAGCATTCTGTCTCCACTGAAGTCAATAGAAGTCTTCTTCTGACTCCAAGGAAGTCAGGGATTTTGTTGTATAGTTCTGAAGGGCTTGGAGGAGAGGTCAGTTGCCTTCTTAGCTCTGATTACATGGGGTGCAGGGAGCAGAGCTACAAGCCCCCAATATGGTGGTCAGTGAGTGCAGGACTGGGACTTCCTGTCATGAGCAGAACTGCAAGCTCTGGTCCCACTGGGGATTCATCTCTGCTTGCCACCAACAAGCCTGGTTGCAGTCCTGTATTCACTGACAGCCCAGCCTGGGAGCAGTGGACTAGCACTGATCCCACTACAGCCCTGCTCAGGACAAGGGTGCTACACAGAGAGATGAAGAACATGGTACATGACATGCCACACAGTGTAGCTCTACAAAGAAATTCCTGGTTCACCCAAGAACATTTGTGTAGTACTTCTGACATTTTTGCTTTTAAACGTTTTTGTATATGCACATCTCTTCCCTTGAATTTTGTAGCTACAAGAGAGTTCATGCTGCTACAAATGTAACATCTGCTTGCAGCCCAAAGCTGTGGGTACAGCACCAGTCTTTAAATGCCATGTGACCATATGAGAACTAGCCTGTTCATAGGAAAGAGTTGCCTTCTAGCTGAGGTTAAATAGGAAAACTCAGCCAACCCTTCCTCCTTTGCTGGTTTCATAAGGGTTTGTATATCATGTTATTCTGACAAAGTTATTAAAAATAATACAGTTAAAATCCTAGAACATTAACACTATTGCCTCAGCTTCAAAATAAATTGGGAAATAACCAGCACAAAGCTTGATTTGCATATGCTGACAGTAAGTACAAAACACTTTACCTTTTAGGCAATGACTTTCTGTTATGAGTAGGGGAAATGGAATTTGGTAAGTGAAATTTTCCACCCAGAGGAAACATTTCTTATTGGTTTCTGGACTCTTATAAATACAATCCACCCCTGTCTGAGTGTATCTGAGAGAGAATCCATTTCTCAGAAACTTTGACAGGCTGCAGTGGTAAGTTTTAAGATTTTATATCTGATTTTAAGATTTAAATAACATTGTTTTACCTTTTTCAGTAAGGTACATAAACTCAGACTTTGTTTTTTCTAGTGCAAAAGCTACTAAGCAAAAGATAAGACAACTTTTCCATGCATCCCATTCCCCAGCAGGATGCTCTGAAGATAACTGGTTTTATCAAAAAGGGTGTTTCATTTTCTAACAACAAATCATCACTTTGCAAAGCCTTCAGAACTGTGTGTGACCCTGCTGATCCATGCACCTGCTCCACAGTTTGAAGTAGAATAAATATGATGCCTGGAGTCTTCAAAAACTTGCCCAGATTGTTAATAATCATACTTTTTCACCCACTATTCTCTTATAGGTGAAGTAGTGCGCCATGAAGTTCTTCACCTGCATCTTCTTGTTATCCCTGGTCCTATGTGTCACCAGCGACAACTGGGCTGAGAAGGCTGGGAAATTTATAAAGGATGCCTATGGAGGTAAGTTATTTTCCAAATAAACGTTCTTCAGGAAGAGTGTCTTCAGAAGAGAGGTTTTTGGAAAGGAACAGAACATAGCGTGTTAATAAATCAGGATTTCCTCCCCCAGTTTGCCGTGTGATTTTTTGAAAATCATTTCACCTCTTTTTGGCTAAATTTTGCTAGTATAAAATGAGAATAATATAAACTCATCTCTTTAAAGTCTTTATTTTATCATTATTGTTATTATTATTATTAATCAGTCTTTCCAGAATGATTCAAGAATAGTATGTGGTACAATAAGATCCTGGTCCATGAACTGGGCTCCCAAGCTCAGTCACAACAGACCTGATGAATAACAATAACAACAGCAACAACAATGACAATAACTATCATCATCTGCTTGGTTTATGGAGGCTTCCCCTTTGTCAAGGAGTCTCCTTTCATCTCCTCCTCAAGATTTCACTTGATGGATGGTACAGTTAGAAAAAGAGGTAAAACAGGTGTAAAATTCATCTGCTTCTGAAAGGAGGCTTGGGAAGGGAGCCTCAACTTAGAAGCCACAGAGGAAGGGTAGAATGATGACTGAAGGCCACTGGAGAGGGGTAAAATAGCTCCCACCCTTGTGTTTACTGTTTCCATAATTCTTTCTTCCCTACCCAGGTGCTACGGATATGGCCAGAGCATACAAGGACATGCGTGAGGCCAACTGGAAAAATTCAGATAAATATTTCCACGCACGGGGAAATCGTGATGCTGCACGGAGAGGACCTGGTGGCGTTTGGGCAGCAACAGTTATAAGGTACCTGACGTCCCTGGGGTTCTGGATTGAGGTGGGAGACAGCTGTGTAATCCAACAGGGTGAACTACATCTTGATTCATAAATGGTTACTCCCCTGTTTAAAGAGTGGATATTTTTAACTACTATTTGAGTTGGGTATGTGAAGATGGAGCCCATTCTTGAATTTAGGAGCCCTTATTCACATGTTTCATGAGTTGACACAACATATCTGGTACTTGCTCCAATCAGCTCACACTACTCTGTTGAAAGAAGTTGATGTTTTTATCCCAGTACTTCACAATCTTCAGAGCAGTGAACAGAGCATAGTAGAGGCAAGTGCAGCAATGGCATTTGCATTCTATGCCAGCTCTGAGATGGTTCTAACAAGCCTAGATTTCTGTGATACAGGCGTGATATCAAAGTATCCTATGGTTTCGTAGTTTCATAGTTTCTAGGGTCAGAAGGGACCT